ATTTTTATCTCCATTCAACCACTCAAAAACCGGAAGTGGAAATGGTGCTGTGGCTCAAAGTGGCAGAGCATTAGCTTTGAGCAAAAGAGCTCAGGGACAGCAACAAGTCCCTGAATTCAAGCCCCATGACTGACAAAACAAAAACGAAAAACAAAAAACCCAACCACAAAAAAACACAACAACCAATCTTTCTTTCTCTTCTCCTATCCCCCCTTTTCTTCCCTCCTATCCCCCCTTCTCTTTTCTCCTATCCTCCCCTTCTCTTCCCTCTCTCACTCATTTCCCTCCCTTCTCCTTCTCATCCTAGAGCTTAAACTTAGGGCTGAGGCCTGTCCCTGAGCTTTTTTGCTCAAAGCGAATGCTCTACCACTTGAGTCACATCTCCACTTCTGTCTTTTTTGATAGTTAGAGATTAACAGTCTCACACTTTCCTTAACCTTGAATATCAGATCTCAGCTTACTGATGAGCTAGGATTACAGGTGTGAGCCACTGGCATAAAGTAATTTCTGAATTCAACATTCTGTCTGGTATCACGAATATAACAGAAAGTTCATAAAATTTAGGTCACAAGTCAACAAATGAAGATTATTGCATGCACATGGTATTTAATGAACAATTATGGCAAGTTAGAGTTGCTCACGTATAACTTTAAAAAGAAATTATATCAAGGCAACCCTGCTTTGTAATTTTAAGTATTAGGCCATTATAAACAGTTCATTGCCTAAACTTCCTATTATCTCCCTCTATTTAATGATGGTTTGAGCATTTTGGAGTAATTTGAATCATACTGTTCTATTACATACATCATGACACAAACAAAATTATTTCCTTCCTTTAAAACAGAACAATTTTCTAGTTACTCAAGAGGCTGAGATGTGAAGATCCTGGTTTGAAACCAGCCTGTGCCAAAGTCAGAACTGGAGATATGGCTCAAGAGTTAGAATGAAAAGCTTGAGCTAAAAAGCCAAGTGAGACATGCCTCTGAGTTTCAGCCCTAGTATCAGCCCCCTAGTATCAGTATGTATGTGTGTGTGTGTGTGAGTGTGTGTGTGTGTGTGTGTGTATATATATATTATATATATATATAAAATATATATATAAAATTCACCTCCTAACTGAATCTCTAAATGCTTATTGTAAGTCTGATACACAAATGGTTAGAAGGGCATAACATGTGCTGAGGATCTGATATCAAACACTTTTCTTATATGGATAACTTTGGAAGAATAATACTGGGATTTGAAATCTGTACTTTGCTAGGTAGACATGCTACCACTGAACCATGCCTCCAGTCCCTTTTTGCACCTTGCTAATTGCCTGGATAAACACTTGGGACATATTTTGGCTTCCCCTTGAAACTAGGACGACAAATCCATGTACCATACACCCAGCTTCTTCCACTTAGATTGAATCTTGTGAACTTTTCTGTCTGGGCTGGTCCAGAATTATGATCTTAGCCTCACAAGTAACTAGGATGACCAACATGAGCCACTGGTGCCCAGTTTAGATAGATAATTTTTGATAATGAGTCAATGGCTTGTATTAATTCAAGTTTTTAAGAAAACTTGAATTAATCAGTTTAAGAAAATGGGAGTTATCTCTTGTTTACAATTTGCAATTTTGAATTTATAGAAAGCAAACTTCTATCATTTTAAAGCTCTTAGATTTTTAAGAGCCACAAGTAAAAACAATTCTACGACTACTTTTGACAACTGTTGGTTAAGGAGGGTTTCTTTGTTTTTGTTTGGTTTTGGTCTTGAGGCTTGAACTCTGGGCCTGGGTACTGTTCCTGAGCTCATCAATTCAGCTTTCAACTCAAGGCAAGCACTTTACATTTGAACAACAGTACCATTTCCAGTTTTCTGGTCGTTAATTGGAGACAAAAGTCTCACGAACTTTCCTGCCAGGGCTGGCTTTGAACCGAGATCCTAGTATGAAGCTCTGAGTTGAAATCCCACGGAGAGGGGGGTTAGAGGGAGATAGAGAGGGTGAGGGAGAGGGAGAGGGAAAGGGAGAGGGAGAGGGAGCGAGGGGGAGGGAATTTCTAAGTTACTCTGTTTGTGGGTAATAACACACCGTCATCGCATCATGGAAGTTTTAGACCTAAAATATATAAAGCATAGACTTTTCTTAATATAAAAGAGTTGGAATTTAATACAAGACTTTCAAAAGACATTCATTTTTCTATGACTTGACCTCAAAGCAGCTTAGTTTCAGATTGTGAGAGTTAAGAATATTTTATTTTATTTTGAGTCCGGTCGTGGGGCTTGAACTTTGGGCCTGGGCGCTATCCCTCAGCTCTTCAGCTCAGGGCTAGCATTCTACCACTAGAGCCACAGCGCCACTTCCGGTTTTTTGCTTTTTGCTTATGTGGTGCTGAGGAATCAAACCCAGGGCCTCATGCATGCAAGGCAAGCGCTCTACCACTGAGCCACCTTCCCAGCCCAAGAATATTTTAGTTATAGTAAGTTTTAACTGCACACACTGAAACACCTGACAAAGAAAGGGAAAAATTACTAAAATAAGTTTAAAGTTTGGATAACTAAAACAAAATACTTCTACCAAACATTTGCTGTATAAATAACTCATGAAAATGTATAAAGAAACCATTAAGACATTTATTTATATAAATGAACAAAGTTATGCAGATGAATCATACAAAAACTTTCTCTTTTACATTTACTAAATTAGTAACAACATATAAAACCCCTACACAAATAGTGACATTGTAAAATGCTACAAATCTTTGGAAATACAAGAAGGCAAAGAAACCATAAACATTTTCACATTATTTCATTTAAGACTGCCATTCTAAAAAGTTGCCTAATTAAACTGAAAACCATTTCAGTATTCAGTAACAGGAAAATGATTTAAATGAATTGTACGTATAAAATACTATGGTTAAAATAACCATCAAAACTAAATACAGGCTGGACTCTAAGGCTCATGGCTGTCATCCCAGCTAATCAGGCAGGTGAGATCCGAAATCCTCAGATCTCAGTCTCTTAGACTCCTATTTCTAATTAGCCACAAAAAGCCAGAAGTGAAGGTGTGGCTCAAGTGATAAAACACCAGCCTTTGCTCAAAAAAGCCCAATACTGACTTCAAGCCACAGTACCCATACCAAAAAACAACAAAAAACAAACAATATCAACTAATAGCCAGTAATAAGTATAAATGCCATAAGGCTGTCATGTGAAAAATAATGTGAAAAAGAAAAATAATATTAAAATTATAATTCCTAATGGTTATACATAAGGACTATGAATAATGTTTCCATGTGGCAATTTTTCCCAATGTTTTAAATATAAAACATTGGCTATCTTGATTTTGAGTGTGTGATACTAGGGTTTGAACTCAGACTAGGCTCTTACTCGATTTGCTTGTTTAGCTTGAGCTCTACTACTTGAGTCACACCTTTAGGCCAGCTCTTTTAGGTGTTATTTTGGAGATAGGTCTCAAAGACTTCCCTGCCTGGGCTGGCTTCAAACCTTGAGTAATCCTCTTGAGGATACAGGCAGCTAGCACCTATATCCTTTTTAAAAGTTATTCATCTTTTCAAATAATCACTATTCTTTCCTATTTGCAAACTATGAATCAATATTTCAATTGAAAAGGAAAAAAAAGAGAAGAAAAGCCTCATTATGCTCCAAAATCTAAATACTCCTCTATTTGGATTATCTGGCAATGAATGAATTCATACTGCACGCTGTCCCATTCCAACAGGCAGAGATAGCCACACTACTCTGGTCAACACAAACCACAAGTTACTGGATAAGAATAAATAAAATTACACTTTCATTTTATAAATTTATTGTTTGGTATTTAGGTTAATGCATCACATTAATATTCCTTATTTTCTTTCTCATACTAAGAGAAAGCTTAATTTTCATTTAAAATAAGTTGCCAATATGTTTCTGAAACCTCTAGCTTGTTATATTATTTACTAGATTAGCTCCAGTAAAACCATTTTAGTTTGTAAATTTAAAACTTTTGAATTAGAGGTTGAACACAGCAACTACCTAAAGAAAGGCAATGGAGCCAGGCACCGTGGCTCACGCCTATAATCCGAGCTACTCAGGAGGCTGGGAGCTGAAGATTATGGTTCAAAGCCAGCTTAGAAGAAAACTCCATGAGACTCTTATCTTCAATTAACCACCAAAAGCCTGGAAGTGGAGCTATAGCTCATGGGGTACAGTATTAGTCTTGATCTTAAGAGCTAATGGGATAGTAGTTCCCAGTTCCTGAGACCTGGGACACACACACGCACACACGCACGCACGCACGCACGTACGCACGCACGCACGCACGAGAAAAGGCAACTGAAAAAAATCAAGAAACTCCTACTTTGTGAATTTTTAGTAAGTATTCCTTTTGAAACTGTGTTTCAGTAAATGAATAGGGATTTGAATGCCTTTATGACTAGCTGCACAATTTATCACTTTTCTAAAACAAAAATATGAAACCCTCACATGAAATACTATTTTGCAACATGACAACATTTTCAAAATTATGGTAAAAAGGGATTCAGAACTTCCCCAAAGCTCTTTGAACGGAAACATTTGAAAATCACTGTTTTAAAATATTTTGAGCAGAAGAGATTAGCTAGAAATGCAGGGCAGCTCTCGCCCCATGTCTATAAATACCACTTGAAAGAACAAACCACCAAAGAAACCATGTCATGGGGATTAATGTCCTATAAAGAAATACAAATAAATGCTAAAAAAGGACAAAGGAAAATTTTAATTCAGGGTCTATTCTTTAGTTAAAATTTTAAAAATATGCGGGGCACTGGTGGTTCACGCCTGTAATCTTAGCTACTCAGGAGGCTGAGATCTGGGAATTGCTGTTCAAAGCTAGCTCGGGCAGGAAAGTCCATGAGACTCTTATCTCCAATAAACCACTAGAAAACTGGAAGTGGCGCTGTGGTTCAAATGGTAGAGTGCTCTCCTTGAGCTGAAGAGCACAAGGACAGCGCCCAAGCCCAGAGTTCAAGCCCCATGACTGACCAAAAAAAAAAAATTTTAAAAATATGTCACTTAGTAAGCTGCTACAAAGTAGCAGACTGTTGATAGAAAGAAATAGCTCATAGCTGCCACGATACAAAGCCACAGGAGCTCAGTGACCCACTCTAAAGGCAGAGGTGAAGTTAATTAAATATGAATTTTCTATTTACATACTATTAGTAGTAATAGCCATAATTTGCTCATTTACAAATATTATAAAACTTCATTTCCAAGATCTAAATAAACATACTCAGTACTAGATGAGTACAGTCTTATCGGCTTAATGTTTTTAATAATATTGAACTCTCCAAAATAAAAGAGATCAATAATGGCCATTTCACACATACTTGAAGAATTTCAAAGCATTGAGACCACCTGGAAAAGCCTGAATAAAATTAAAATGGCACTTCTATGAAATAAAGAAACATGTAAATCATACTTCTTTTTTCTTTAGTTAGCATTGTTGTTCCACTTTTTCACAAGAAAAAGACTGAAGATCAAATCCAGAAAGTTAATTTTCCTGAATCCAGTCAAAGTCTAGTTTAACTACATAAAAACATCTTCAAAAAACTGAATGAGTTCAAGGCTATACATCACATATAATACATAAACTGCATGCTATAAGGATTATAAACGATGGTCATTTTTCTTCATGCAAAAAAAAATAGTTGTCAAGTTCTTTGAATTCTGCATCTTTACATAGGATTCAATATCAACCAGGAAATGATACTTCCAAGCCAAACTCAAAGTGTCTTAATTCCATCATCCTCTCCTTTTGTCTCATTTAGGGTTATATATTCACAGCTCAAAACCTGCTCAGGTTTTGATTTTTTAAGTGCCAACTCTGCAGGGAGAAAGGATGAACAATGCTCAAGGCATTGGGCAATGTCATCAATCGTCCACTTGTCTTCGGGAAGAGCGTGCTCTTCCAGGGTAAATGGTCCCTGTTTGGTTCGGGTCAGCTCTAGCACACTGGCACAGGAAGAGAGTTCTACAGCAATAAAATAAATTCAGGAGATAAGTACTTTAGTATTTCATGGTCTAAAACTTTTCAAATGACAGAAGAATGTTATTCAGATCTCTCAAAACTATAGTAAAACTTAAAACTGTCATATTCAAATATAACAAGGTCCTTTAGATAAACAGATGATTAAGAAGTAAAACCATGCTTAATAATTCATCTTAGACATAACACACTGCTTTAAAGTATACAAAGAACTTGCACAGATTTTTTTCTTACTTAACATACCCTTATCAAGAAAAATATATTTTAGGACAATTATTTTTAAAAAAATCCTTACTTTGAGTTAAAATGTTTTGTATTTTAAAAAATGCTAACCCTCATCTCTGTCATTCCCATTCATTTTCTGTTCCTCCTTTTCTCTTCTTTCTTTCCTATTCTAAGTCACTCACTGCAGCTGCTGAAGCAGATGTGGCAAGCAATCAACCAACAATGCTCCTCAGGATAGAACTCAGAAATGAGAAAAAGAAAATTCCTTCTCCTCATCAAAAGTAACATTGCTCTCTAAATGATAACTCATAATTCACTTTCTGCTTACCTCTGCCAATGTCACTGACCAAGCTTCTGATATAAAAACCACCTCCACATTCAACATCTGGAATGTGAACAGTGACATGGTAAATTGCTAACCTCCTATGAAATCCACTTTACATAGAAATAATGCCCCTCAACAAATGTAAAAATGCACTATGCAAACAATCCAGTTATAAAATATTTATGTGCTAAAACATAAATTATTCATCCAGCAGCATATGTGTTTGCGAGATTGAAAAGTCAAAGTGTGGAGAAAGCAAATAGCAGAAACTCATGAACACATTTTAAATTAACTGGCAAGTCACAGCACTTTAATACTTCAGTCTTGTTCATTTAATACATTTAAATAGTTAGAAATCTGTTTTTTCTATTATGAGCTATAGATGCTAAAATATTTCCAGATTTGTATTCTTTGCTCATTTATTAGGTTTTAAATAGCTAGAAATCTTGATTTTGCTATAATAAGCTATAGGTTTTAAAAATATTCTCAGATTTATGCAATGATTAAAAATATAAACAATCAGCAAAACCTTCCTTTCATAATGATAAAAATTATGTTTGGGATACTATACTACACACAAAGAGCTCAGGATAGTTAAGTGCTCTCTTATAAATATTCCTTAAAAATCATAAAATTAAATTGGACAGTGTGATAGAGTGACTGACATCTGAACATCTTCTTACACAGCATCAAGTTTACCAGTTGAGAGCAGGTCTCTTTATTTACCAACAAGACCCGAGAAAAGAGCTGTCACATTCCCATATTAGAGGACTACATTCTAGCTGTTTCTAGTCCTGTTGAACAAATAGAGAACGTGGGGGAATTAATCAGATTTTAAACCCACATGAGATTTTAGTTCCTTTTTAGTTACCAGCTTCTAGTTGAGGCCAGTGCTGACAGAAAAGGATGTCAGGATCAAGTGGGTGAGCTGGCAAGTTAACATTATATCTGACTTTGTTGAGAACAGTTCTTTGGGCCCGTGTACTCTCCGGCAAACAAAATAAAGCATTTATGACTTGATCAGAAAATTTTGAGTTTTCCTTGTTTTAGAGATATCTACTCTGCCAGTCTAGCTGCTATGTGCTCACAGGATACAGCGAAACACACTCTAGAGTTTGTTCATTATCTGTCCCAATAGCCTAGAATCCTGGAAAAAAAAAAACATTTTAAGGACTTCTTTTTAAGATTAAACAAAATCATATTCTATAGGAATTTAACACAGATTAATGTCAATGAGAAAAAGGAGCTAAGTTAGTATATAGCTTGCAGTCAACTGGGGGGGAGAGGGACAGCGTGGGGGGAGGGGGTGCCAACACTCCACTCTCAAAAATTTTTACCCAAAAACTAAATATACTGTTTTCAAAAGGACTAAAACTAAATATGTTAGATATAAGCCACATGGAAGCAAAAACATCCATAAGATAAAATTTAAGTTTTGAAAATATATACCCTTTTGCCTACTCTTCTTTGTACAGATTTATAGTAATGTACCGATATCTTGAGAGTCTAGGGCAGAAGGATTATGCTTCCCAGCCAGCCCAGGGAAAAGTTTAAGATTCTTATCTCATAGGAACTATTCAGTCTAAATAGATGGGCATTTCTAAACCTTCATGTACCTACAGATAGTTCATTAAATGTGTCATCAAATCACGATCTTCCTTAAATTCAAGTTTTTTTTTTTTGTTTGTTTTTTGTTTTGTCGGCTTGAACTCTGGGCCTGGGCGCTGTCACTGTGCTCTTCAGCTCAAGGCGAGCGCTCTACCACTTGAGCCACAGCGCCACTTCCGATTTTTTAGTGGTTTACTAGAAATAAGAATCTCATGGACTTTCCTGCTCGGGCTGGCTTTGAACCACGATCCTGATCTCAGTCTCCTGAGTAGCTAGGATTACAGGCATGAACCACTGGCGCCTGGCTTAAATTCAAGTTTTTTACAAAAATTTTAGTATCATAGGGATTCATTAAAATTACACAAAATTTATTTGCCAAATACAAAATAAAGGTACAAGTAATCACCAATGATTTCAAATTTCTCCATCTTACCTAATGTGAAAAATGGTGGCTGGAATTTTTGGAGGGAGATACTGTACACAGTAACTGGCCTGGCAGGTTTTGCTTCTACAACCTCACCTCTCTTCATTAAAGTGGAAAGTCTCTGTCCATCTTTCTTTAGTGCTGAATAGCTTGCAAGAGAAAAAGAGAGAGGCAGGGAATGAAAGAGGATGATGTAAGGGGATGCTGAGAAAGGAAGAGATGATAATTCCAGATGGCATAGAAAGGATCAAAGGCTAGCAGGCCTTTGCATTACAAGCCATTCCAGAAACAGAACTATTTTCCCTTACAATCTACTCAACAACCTCAACATGGATAGAGTTCCTAAATATCTTTGGGCCTAATGTGGAACTCAGAACAATGTTGTCCACCTTGCCCTTTACTTTCCTTGGAGAGGGTCTGTTCCTGTCTTCTCTTCACTAGTCCTCAATCTGTCAAGGGCATAAAGAACTTAGCAGTAGCTTCTGGCTATAAAAGTATCAGTTAATTTTCTTAAACAACTCCTATCATATTTTTATATAAAAGTTACTAAAGTGTCTCTTTAGAGCAAATATGTAGATAATATACTCAATAGATCTTAGTTTTGTGTTAATTTTAGCAGGTTACAAATCCTCAGATAACCACAGAAAAAAAAACCTGAAATGGTTCTTATAAATTAATATAAATATATTTAATTTAGCTTAACAAGGATCCAAAATGTTTATATGGTCCTTGATAAAATTTCTAAAGCTTTACATTTGAGGAAAACTTTATAAATCATGAGGCAAATCATTCAATGCTCTTGAGGTGGGGAGGGGGAACAATATTTAAAAATATGAAGAACTAAAGGAATTGTCAGTAATATATCCTGGCACATCTAGAGCCATTCAGCACTTTGTCAGTAATATATCCTGGCACATCTAGAGCTACTCAGCACTTTAAATCAAAAGAAATGATTTGCATGAAAGGATAATGTGTACACAAATATGGTTCTATAGTGTTTTGATCTGAATGTTTGTGCCTCTCCAATGCCTAGGCTGAAATCCTTAGTACCAGATGGTGGTATCAGGAAGGGGGCCTTTGGAGGGTGGCTAGGTCACGGAGTACAACCTTCATAAAAGCAACTGATATCCCTTCACCATATGAGGACATGTATGAAAGTACCATCAATGAGGTATCAAATCTGCCAGTGGTTTATCTTGGTCTCTCAGCCTCCGTAATAATCAAAAAGGCCTTTCTGTCATTTGTAAACTACCTAGTTTATGGTATTGCATCATAAATGAACTAAGGCAAGTGGCAAATGGTTAATATTTTCAGTAAGTTGTAACTCTCATCTGTTTATTTGTTATAAAGACTTTGGGCCTGGAGGCAATGGGAATAATACTTGACAGGCAGCACACATTGGGCTCTACCTTCCTAAACATAGCCCTTTCACAGTAATTTGGGGGAAAGTGACATTTCTAGACTTTAAAATTGCCCCGATATCTATTAAACAGAATAAAAAAGCTGATTAACACCTAAATCTGGTCCAAATCTGGCTCACCTCTTTTGATCATTAGACACATCAGATTTAAAGCTTTTCTCACTATAGGACATAAGTAAACCTATTTTACTTTAATTAGAATGATGTTAACCAGTGGGCAATAAAATGAAACATTTAGTCAAATTCAATAATTGTACTTACAGAGGGGGTACCTGCATTATATTCCCAGTAAATTTCTGTAGAATACCTTCAATATCTTCTTGTGTTATTTTATCTGCCAAAAATGAACAAAAAAATGTGACATAGCCATAGATGTACATATGCTGTTTTTAAAGCACTGACTGCTCTGAAAATTCACTTAAAAATAACCAAATTCCAGAAGTGGCGCTGTGGCTCAAGTGATAGAGTGCTAGCCTTGTGTAGAAAATCTAAGGAGCAGCTCCCGGACCTTGAGTTCAAGCCCCATGAACCCCATGACCAACAACAACAACAACAAATTCTACCTTTAGCCAGGTGTCAGTGGCTCACACCTGTAATCCTACCTACTCAGGAGGCTGAGATCTGAGGATCACGGTTCAAAGCCAGCCTGGGCAGGAAACTCTGTGAGACTCTTATCTCCTATAAACCACTCAGAAAACTGGAAATGGTGCTGTGGCTCAAGTGGTAGTACACTTGCCTTGAGTTGAGGAACTAAGGGACAGGGCCCAGGCCAAGAGTTCAAGGTCCACAACTGAATAACAACAACAAAATTCTACCTTGTTAACAAGGATAAAATACACCTTAATGAGATAAAAAGAAAAGAAAATCTCATATTGTTCTTTCAATCCCCAACCCCATAAAAATTGCCCAATCAATGCATATGGATTTAGGTGGTTCTGACCCTGGCATTTAGAAGACCTACAGAAAGCATCACATTAGCTATAGAAATAGTCTGACAGTGGTCAATAGGAGGTGACTAAAAAGTAGGCAGAAAAAAATTCCATAAATTCTTTGTCATGTTTTCCTAGGCATCAAGAATGAACAATAACTTACTGTGGTACTAAAGATTACTAAGTTTTTTTCCATTTAAAATTTTATCTGACAAGATTTCAAAACTATTCTATGTTGCAGCATAAATTGTACCCAATTTTATAACAACTATCTCAAAGAAAGGCTTGTTGATTTGGCTCTCCTATCCCTTCTCTGTTCTGCAGATTTCTCTCCTCTTAGCTAAATACTCAACTGGCACAGAAAAAGATCACACAGAGCAAGAACTTTAGCATGCATGCTCAGCACTCTGAACAATAATTTTTAGAAAATATGAATGAAGACTTATAAATAAAGCTTTCAATATCAGTTAGTCATGTTTACAATTTTTGTTTGGTACCAAACAAACTGATGCAATATTACAGTATAGTTAAATGTTTTAAAAACAGAAAACTACGGTATAAATTCAATGCTTGGGATTTTCATATGTTACAGATAAGGATACATACTTTGCATTCAATAATAAACTAAGTCTTGAAAACATTTTGGAACTTGGTTAGATCATAGTCAATGGAAAGAAATTAGTGTTTCTATGATTTTGAAATAATTGTATTTAAATCTTTTTTCCTGGCATTTGATTTTATTTGAAGAGCATTCTACAAAAATTTTTAATGTGCTTTGAATTACTATTCTAAAGCCATGATAAAAATTTAAGATCATGGAATATCCAGATTTAAGCAGCAAACCAGTCTTAACCTCAGTGTAACTTCGGTTCTTCTTTTTTTTTTTTTTGAAGTCAATAATTTTTGGGGGAAGGAGGGTCCGGTCGTGGGGCCTAAACTCTGGGCCTGGGCGCTGTTCCTCTGCTCTTCAGCTCAAGGCTAGCACTCTACCACTTGAGCCACAGCGCCACTTCCAGCTTTCTTCTTTTTGCATATGTGGTGCTGAGGAATCGAACCCAGGGCCTCATACATGCAAGGCAAGCACTCTACCACTGAGCTACCTTCCCAGCCTGAAGTCAATAAATTTTTATTTAATCATTTTCACATGTTGTGATTCCTTTACTGCCCATCAAAGTGAAGCTCAAGATTTCTCTTGAAATCTAAGGCAGCCCTTTTAGAAGCAAACAATTCAAGCCAGTGGTACCACTGAGTAACTTCAGTTCTTATAAACTAAACACAAAGGTAGAATCCACTCAACTCAGACAGTGAAGAACTACAGAACTCAGAAGAATTTCTGTATCACTAGCACTCCCAAATCACAGGTTGCCAGTAACAATTCTACTCACATTGCTTCTCACACACACACACACATGCTTCATGGCATGGGTAAAGATCTATCCATGAAAAAGATTTACTCTACTGCAACATCAAGACACAGCTACTAGTGGTTGCTATACAAATCTTGGTTTTACAGTTAGTGCTACCAGGAAGCTGGTACTTGTTTGAGAAAACTCTGCCATAGCTGATAAAACTGCAGTAATTCCTAACTAAGCCACACATTTCTTAAACAAGGCCGAAAGCTGACATGATGGTGCATGCCTGTAAGCCCAACACCTGGAAGGAAGAGGCAGAAAGTCTCCAGGTTTGAAACCAGCCTGGGCTACCGAGTGAGAGCCCTGTCACAAAAATAATTTAATTTAATTAAAAATGAATAGCAGGGAGCCGAAACAAGTTCTGAGGGAGGGGGAACAAGAAAGGGGACACACAAATTGAGGAAGGGTGAATAAATGCAATCATTCAATGAACACTATGTAAAAACTGGAACTATGTAATGAAGACAGGGATGGAGGGGAAAAGACGGGAGAATAACGGAAGGGGTGACGCTCATCATGATGCACTGTACTCATAATGTGACTTCTGGAATTGATACTCCTTTGTACAACCACTAAATAAAAATATTTTTAAAAATTAAATTAAAAAATGTAAGACTAAACAGCTTTCTAAGTCTGCTAGTCTGGTCTCTTTCCTGACATTTCTGCAATTGGGTACTTCTTTGTCCTAGTTCAGTGGCATCTTTCACTACTACTCCCCCAAACACACACACATATACATTTTACTTCTGCCACTATTGTTTCTTTAATTTAACATCTCACACATTTAGGGTGTGCTATTCATTCTGAATTAATCATACACAATTTTAAACAGCACTTTAAGGTATTATCTCATCAGTGAAATCCTGAGCTTTTGAAAGACAAGGACAGTTTTCTTAGACAATGTACACTAGTAAGATGGCATTCAAGACATTAGAATCTCAAGGTCAAAGGGCATTTAAAATCCATCTAGGGCAATCACTTATCTGATGTTTGAATAATAAAAACTAAGGCTGTGATGTAGGAGTACATATCAAAGCATAAGTGCTATATCAAAAACATGGTAGGGCTGGGAAGTTGGCTCAGTGGTAAAGTGCTTGCCTCTCATGCATGAAGTCCTGGGTTCAATTCCTTAGCACCACATAAGCAAAACAAAAACAAAAAATCAAAAACATGGTATTAATCTAAGCCAAATAATAACTTTCTCTAAAATGTAACACCTCTACCTTTAAGCAATTTTAGAAGAAATGAAGAACAAAATACCCAAAAGAAGTACATTTGATAAAAGAAGTTGGGTATGATACAAACATAACAGAATTTGGATAGCAATTATTTGTTCAATAATTAATAAACAATATATTGCAGTATTAATCTGAAGTTTATTTTTTAAAGTTGGGCTGTAGCTCAAATTGCCTAGCATAGACAACATCCTAGGTCCAATGCCTAGCACTAAAAGAAAGAAAATAGAAAAAAAGGTTGTTCTCTAAAATCATACATATAAGAATACATTATGTATCATTACTTGCTTAAAATATACTGCCACAAGCGGGGCACTGGTTTGAATTTGAAGTCTACTAAATCAATGACTTACTTTCTCATTTCTCTAAGCTAACTCTGAGCTATCTGACACAACTGCTAAAAATATTGTCTAGCTGAGACAAAAAGACTTAAAAATATTCACTTGCCATTGATGGTAAACTGCCTTATTATTTCATCCACATGTCAGCTGTTTGTGGAAGCTCAACAGATGACTGAGTGGGGTGGCAGCACCAATGGCCTTTTTTATGTTGCTGTTTTTTAGTTTTGTTTTCTTGTGATGCTGTGGATCAAACCCAGAACCACACACATGCTAGGCAAGCACTGAGCTACATCCTCAGCCCTACTAGTGGCCTTTATGGGGATGCTAATGACCTACTATATGCAGGACCAGAGAACACAAGGAACTGTCCTTGGTACTGCCTGATTTCTAGATGTATGCCCTAAATGGCTGCCAGATACAACTTGATATAAAGCCTATTTATTACAGATACTGAGGTTAGGATTTATCTCTATTTCATATTTAAACACACAAAAAATTTGGCCAGCTTTATATTTTCTAATTTTTTAATTATCAAATTTTCTAATTTTCAAATACCAAATCTTAATACAATACTACCTATTATAGCATGCATTTATACTTGTGTCATTCACAGGGACCTTTGTATAAGTGCAAATATCTGATTACTTCATGAAGAATTTTAATTTAGTAGCAGTAAATATACAAATGTGTGCATTTACATATCAATATAAAATTTTACTATTAATTGTGATGCCTTCATTTACTACATTAATCTAAAAAATAATCTAAAAATAATTTTATTTCAGGATCATAATGAAGGCATAGAAAATATTGGCTAGAGGCTCGGAGACTGAGTTTTCAGAGAGCTGAGAACAAAGGTCAGAAATCCCCATTAGACAGCAGCTCTATAAGGACATACCTAGCTCTAGTCCTCATTTATCTTCCCCTCGGTTCCTATTACAGCTTCAATACAGTAAATACTTGATCATTTGCTGAAAGCACATGGAAAATCATGCCAAGCTGCAAAATTCTCTGAGCTCTCATTTTCTAGGACTATAAATACTATTCAAATATTATATGAAGCTCTTTTGTTCAGAGCCTGAATAGTTATTTAATTTCTCTATGATTTATTACAACATTATCATGAGATTATTTTGACAAACAGGACTTTGTTTAAGGTAAAAAAATAATAAAGCTACAAATTATCCAATGCAAGAATAATTTTTAGAACTTCAAAATGCTAAAGGCTAGAAAGAAAGGATATGTGTAAGGTTATGTTTTTGTTAGCTTGGTCTTCTTCTAGTATCTCCTATTCAACACATTGCAACATCACGAGACCTAATAACCTAGGTCATGATTGATTACTTTCTTACTATCCCCATTTACTCAACCAACAATCAGTAAGTCTCACTAATTACTTACTAGACACCACAATGCCAGTCCAAGTTACCATCATCTCTGCTTAGATTCCATTATCCTATCCTCCTTTCATTTTAAAAGCCTTGGGTTGAAGGTTATAGTTGTGCTTCAGTTAAACAAAGGTCTGCTATTTGCTAATGTTACAATAATTCAAAGCGTAGTTCAACAGCTATTTTTTAAAAGATTTAGAAGATATGGGTTTTTTTTGTCTGTTTTCATCTTGCTGCTTGATTAATTGAGCAAGATTCCAAACTATATGTAAATGTTAACAGCATAAGTGAAGCCATTATGAGCAAGAAAAAGAAAAGGTTGGCCTGGCTACTGGGGCAATTTATAATATATAATAAGGACAATCAGCACAAAACGTAAGGAAGCCAGATGCTAGACTGTCTATAGACAAATTAAGAAGAGTTAACATTAAACACAGTAGGAAAACCTGGAATGCTCACAAATAATTCACAATTGGTGACACAATAACGCATGTGAACTGACAGGCAAAACTGCAACGAGTGCATTATGAATAGTTTGAGCACTGTGAGAGTTGCTAGGAAACCAGGTTCATTTATCTATCCTTCCTTAAAGTAGTAAAAGAAGAAATGGCAGAAAATTAAGGTGGGTCCCAGAGAGTTCTATTTTACTTGAAAGAATCAGCTTTCTTCTATATTTTCATTCCAAAAACAGAGGAACATGATGAGTTTTTAAAGAACTAAAGCTAGGACATCTATTTCAATAGTAGAAAAGTAATTTTTTAACAAGACGGCATCTCTACTTTGTTTCTAGGGAAAACATCCTAAAGCCTGGCTACACATGTGTTTGGCAAGAGAGCTACATGGAAGAATAACTCTGAACATCATGAAAATTCATTATAGAAAAAAAATCAATTATAAAAAATCTGTGTGCATAAATTTATACCAAATATGCTACAATGTGGTGAGAAATTTTCAATCTTTCTAACCTAAAGAAATATACCGAGAAGTAAAATCAGATAATATCAGTAAAAGATTTACATTTAAATTTTACATTTGCAGAAATTTTCTCTAAAGGCTAAAGAGAACACCTGAATTAGATGAATTTCATACCGTAAGGTTTCTCTTCTGTTACTTTTCCTGTAGAATCTAACGTGTCAGTAGCTTTCCCCAGCTCTCCGATGGCAATATACCTCTACAGGAAGAGAGACGAGAAAAAAAAATGGACCATGGGGTAAGGAAAAACTGTTATGCATGCCTTGAAATTTATGTAGAATTTCACTAACATTACTGAACTGGTAAGAAATGAAGGCATACATGACACACTGATTTTTTTGTTGGTTTCTTCCTGGTTTTTGAAAAGCATTTGCATAAGCTGAGGAACATTCACAAATGTCCCACATCTGCCAACATGAGAAAGAAAAAAACTCATGTTACTGCAAATTTCAACCCCCCCCCCTTAATATTGGGTAGTTTGTTTCATAAGGGAAAAATAAACCCAGTTGATTCTCCATATTGTGAGCTCTGAAACAACAAATTCAATCAATCGCAGATTAAACATGTTGTAAAAAAATCACATCTGTGTGGAACTTGTACAGACTGCTTATCATTCCCTAAACAATACCGTGTAAGAACTATTTACATAACATTTACATTGCAGTAGAAATTATGCAAAATCTAGAGATTATTTACAGTATACGTGAGTATACCACTTTATAACAAGGACCTGAGTATTCATGGATTCAGGGGCCTCCACAGAGGCCCTGAACCCCCAAGGATATTGGGGAGTAGAGAGAATGGTACAATAACTACAGATAGCTACCACACCAATCAGTAATTTTTCCAGAGTTAAAATTATTCTTAAATAAACCAATTTATTACTTTTATATGAAACATAAGACCAATCTTAAGACATTAATTTAAACAAAAAAATATGTAGAAAAATGTGAGAAAATCTAGTATAGCAAAGGTAGTATACTTAACTATTGCATGTGTTTTTCAGTGAAAAGAAAGGGCTACTAGAACATTATCCACAAATAGTTACTAAGTTTCTAATGGTCACTAGACTTAATTACTAAAAGCCAAACTGGTACCTCTATTTGAAACAACTAAGCAATCTTAAGGGACTCCTGGCCAGTGGGGGAGGGGGGGGGGAACAGAAACAGAGGCTCAAACTCAATCTGGCTGGGTTTGAGCCAATTATGTCAGTCTTAATTGCTCTAGCATCAGCTCAGCCTAAAATGAGGGGAAAGAATAAGTACCTCAGGAAAAGAAATTGAGTTTAGGAAAACAGTATCTGGCCTTAGTAAACAATGGATAAAAATTATCCATCTATTATCATTATTATTATCAAAAAGCCTCCCAAAAACAAAAGGAAGAGTGATTCAAGTTAAAATGACTAACCTGGTTACAGAGTTTTAATAAGAAACAGTCAAACAACAAAATAATAAGGTTTTCCCCTTAGGAGTCTGTTTAGCTGAACAGAAAAGCACAATACATTGTGCCTTGAATTCATCTGCACTATTCTGCTCTATGATACATTTGAACTAGGGGCCTTAACATGAATGCCAAAGCACAAGGCCCAATCTCGTGTCTGGACTAGGGATGTCCTGTGCTTTGGGACATGCTACCTCTGGCTTTGAGCTCCCTCTGTTCTCTAAGAACCATACCTATTTGTATTTCAAAGCCATCCTATTGATGCACTTCAACTCCCAGCCACTCCAAAGGGACAAGAGATGTTCAATACAAAATTTAGTATATAGTAAGAATGGGTTTTGCCAGGCACGGGTGGCTCAGCCCCAGAGGCTCATCTGTAATCCTAGCTACTCAGGAGGCTGAGATCTGAGGATCGAGGTTCAAAGCCAGCTTGTGCAGAAAAATTCCCGTGAAACACTTATCTCCAATTAACCACTCAAAAACTGGAAGTGACACTATGGCTCAAGTGATAGAGTGCTAGCCTTTAGCACAAAGAGACTTAAGGACTGTGCCCAAGCCCCATAACCAAAACAAAAACAAAAATAAAGGTTTTTTTTTTAATTATTTTTTTGGGGGGTCCGGTTGTGGGGCCTGAACTCTGGGCCTGGGCGCTGTCCCTCAGCTCTTCAGCTCAAGGCTAGCACTCTACCACTTGAGCCACAGCGCCACTTCCAGCTTTTTTCTTTTTGCTTATGTGGTGCTGAGGAATCGAACCCAGGGCCTCATGCATGCAAGGCAAGCACTCTACCACTGAGCCACCTTCCCAGCCCTCAGTCATGACTCTTAAGAACTACAAATGTACCAAGTACTATCTAAAGTGTATCTGAGAAACAGAGAGATGACAGACAGGCTTCTCGACCTCTAAAAGTTGCAATGTAAGAGGGTAAAATATTATAATAACTTAAGAAGGAAATGCATGTATGTATAGCAACAAGGGCTGTTACCAATGTCCCAGCTCAACCATACTGCACATAATTATCTGTGCACGTCCACTGTTTTTCACAACACATACTGCTATTGTGTTCCTCACTAGATTAAACATTGTGTCAGCTTAATAAAAAGTTTTAAGTAATATATATGCTGGAGAAGTTCCAATGGGTGTGACTCTTCATATTTCACCATGGTTTTGGACATCTAGTTTGTATCTTCCAAGTTTCAAACCACTGCAGATTCTGTAACAATCTTGTAACAGGCTATATGCTATATTCTTTTTAGAGGAGATAATGTCTACCTCAAGCAGTTGTCAAATATTTTAGTTTCAGAATCCCTAATGAATTTAAAACTAATTGAGAAACCTTGGCACTTTTTTTTAAATCTAAATATTGGCTGTATTAGAAGTTAAAACTGAAAAATGTTTAAAATATATACACTCATTTACCTTCCATCAGCCATCAGAGCAATTGGGTCATTGCAGATCTGACAACTTTTGAAAATTCTACTGTTTTTTTTGTTTTGTTATTTATTTATTTATTTATTTTTATTGTGAAAATACCATACAGAGGAGTTACAATTACATGGGCAAGATAATGAGTACATTTCTTATCAAGCATTGTTGCTTCCTCCTTTGTTTCCCCTTCCCATCCCTTCCCATCCCTCTGTTTTCTGATGGTGCAGTTACAAGTAAAAAAGATAAACCTATGAAAATTGTTTTGCATCAATAGGGCCCTGAAAAGAGCCTCAGGAAGGAGTCCCTGGGACATATCTTGTAAACTGGTGATCTAAACCATAGCTGTTTTCTAGTTCTATCTTGTCTCAGCCACTATTATTAAACAATTAACCCTTAAGTCTTCAGTTAACCACAAGGTATTTGGAACAGCCCACCATACAGATGAAACAAAACAAAAAGATATGGGATAGAGGTAAAAAGTAACAGAGATGACACACAGAGAACCCTATCACTTCATTCTCTGGTGTACTGTACTCTCTTTCACTGGCTTAAATTAGGTTTTGGAGTTGCTTTGTTTTTAAATATGCATACCTGGGAGTTGTAAATTCTATTACTGCATTCATTACAACCATAATTCCACTACAACAAAACAAATGGAGGCCCCACAGAGTTCCACTGAACTGAGTGCTCTTTGGGACTTGTGGGTTTTTCTCACTAATACTACTCTTTTCTCTACTCATCTTCAAACTCCCTGAGTCCCACAGCAGATATTAGCTGGGCATCTCTAAGAGCAAATGAGCTTTTGTATCCTTCAGAGGAAAGGAAAATATTTGTATTACAGAAAGAATACACAATCATTTCCATGTCAAGTAACTGCTTTTGCTGAGGCTCGATTTTTAAAGTTTATAATTCAAACTCTCACAAAGACTAATTGGGAGATCATTAGGATGAGGAAGAATGTTTTTCAAAACCCTTCCAAATGAAAACCATGCAGCTTTGAATGCCTTTATTTGGAAGGAACAACTGTTTAGACTTTCTAAGCCCTTCAAGAAAATTCAATATAGTGCTGACAAAACATTTGAATATTAACAGAGGAACAGAAGAGGTAAAAACTAGCCTCTGTAGATGATGACTAGCATAAAAAAACGCTGAAATCTTAAGGAATTGGCCAAGATTCATAGAGTATTACCTAACCCACTCTAGCAAACTCAGGACTAGTTAACCTTACTAAAAATACTAGTGATTTTAGAAGTTTCTGTCCTCTGACCCCATCCAAGGTGGAAAACTTCATACTCCAGTGATAACAAGTTCAGTTGCTGGAGGTGATATAAGCTTTTGTGGGAAGAAATGCTGGTTTCACGGGCAGGTATGACTATGTAGTATTTCCACATGGCTCTGGGGTAGTCTTTATGTGTGGACAATGCTAGTTGGACTCAAGTTTTCTTAACAGGACAGCAACTCTTGTATCTGGTCACCTGGTTTCTAAACATCTTTAATTTTACATCAACAAAGAATATCAATGAGGATAGCACTTCAAACCTCACTGCTCTATGACACATTTGAACTAGCTGCCTTAACATAAATGCCAAGGAGCATTCTCAAGTCTTGATTGGGGATGTCCCATGCTTTAACAGATGCTCCTTCTGTGGCTTTGAGCTTCTTCTGTTCCCTAAGAACCAGACCTATTTATCTTTTGGTGATAAAGAACCAGACTTATGGTTCTGGAAATCTCTCAATTTCGTATAATTATGGTTGTTTTCCTTCATTATTTCACCAAAGATTGCTTCATCAAGGTATAGATGCTATGTAGCTTTTGCTAAGTTAATAAACTCAAGAAAGTTTAATTGAAGGAAGTTGTCAGAGGACCACTCACTTCCCTTCAGTAATCCATGCTCTGCTCTTACATCAAGACAGGCAAAAGGAACACAATAACCAAACAGCTCAGAATCATCTTATCTAAATTAATGTACACAGATCTACAGATGTTATAAACTACATTGAGAACCACCATCTGTCATTTAATACACTTTATTGTACAAAACTACTTTCTGTTTTCAAGTCCTAAGAAATTGCCTCATAAAGACCATGCTTTTTTTCTTTCTGATGAGTATTATGTTTTATTTATAGCACCAGAAATCTTAGGAATAAACAAACCAAAAGAAAAAAAAAGGAAAGAAATTAGCAGCACTCAAGATTTCTAACAGAATTTGCTTAGGTAAAATTATACTTTGGGGGGCGGGGAGGAGGGTCTATGAAATTTGTAGTTCAGAAACCTAATAGGCCTGGAATTCAGAAGAGAAAGGACTCAGTAATGTGTGAAATACTCAGTAATAATAATTACACTATTTATTGAACAATTTCTGTATAAAAGCACTATAAAGAAAACTTACTGGGGCTCGGAAGGTGGCTCAGTGGTAGAGTGCTTGCTTTGCATGCATGAGGCCCTGGGTTCAATTCCTCAGCACTACATAAGCAGAAAAATCTGGAAGTGGTGCTGTGGCTCAAGTGGTAGAGCACTAGCCTTAAGCTGAAAAGCTGACAGTGCCCAGACTCAGAGTTCAGGCCCCATGACCGACCAAAAAAAAAAAGGAAACTTACTTTTTACATATATAATGCACACAACCTCAAAAGAGAAAAAAAACAAAGACTCAAGAGAAACATGATCATTGGAAGAACAAAGCTTACTATGAGACAAAAGAGCAGGACACTGAAGGACACAGAGCTGGGGATCTGTTCCTGTTCAACCTGATCTGAATAGGAGAGGATGGGAGAACAGTCAGATGAGGACAACACGCTGTAAGAAAGCACAAATTAGGCCACATGGAGAAGCCACCTACAGGGACTGGAGAGATGCATGAAGAAAGCAGGGCTTCATTCCTCCGTCTACTGCACCTGCCTGAGACATCTCCAGCCAAAATCATCCAGCTGAGCCCTTCCCAGATCACTGACCCACAGAAACCACAAGGGAAATAAAACAGTGCAGTGATTGTAAGACATAACGTGATGAGGATGGGGACAGGAGGCGTGGCTCAAGCAGTAGCACACCAGCTGGGAGCAAAAGGAGATGATAGTTTGGACTTATGTAAAAGCTGAACAGGAGGTAAGGGCTGAATACATGTATTCATTTTATTTTTTAGAAATAATCTCCAATTTACAGAAAAATTGTGAATACAGTGAAGAATTTTTCCCCTAAACCATTTGACATGCCCTATTGTCTTGGGCATTTTAATATGTGTTATCCTCTTATATACTTGGGTGTGTATTTTCTACAAGCAATGACATTTTTGCATAATCACAATATAACTTTCAAAATGAGAAAAATAACATTAGTACCTCATCTCAGGCTCCATTTGGTTTTCCCCAAATGTCTCATTAATGTCTTTCATAACGAAAGTTAAATAATACATTCCATTTAGCGATGTGACTTTTCAAAAATCACATAGTGAAGTTGGTTACATGTCTTGTTTCTCAAAAAAAAAAAAAAAGAGCGAGAAAAGAAGGAAAGGAAAGAAGGAGAAAGGGGAAGGGTGGGGAGGGGAGGGGAGAAGAAAAAGAAGCAAGCAAGGAAACTAGAAAACAAGAGAGGAAAGGAAGAGGAGAGAATAGTCTCTAGTCTTTACAACGAAAGCACTCAAAAATGTGGGTCAATAGCCAGCATCTAATACATAGTCAGTTCAAAAAAGCATGGTGTTTAGAAATTTACTTGGCAATTGGACATTACTATTATATTTTCATTGTATTTTACAAGTTATGAATCATCAATTAACTGAAAATTCCTCTTTTTTTTGCCTTCCTTCTCTCCCTCCCTTTCTTCCTTTCTCCCCTCCTCCTCCCTTTCTCCTTTCCCTTTTCCTTCCTATTTTCATTGCCCACCAAATACCAGCTATTACCACTGGGCCTAATTGTGAATCTGAATACACAAATCATTATCTTTTAGATTTGGAAGAGATGCTATTTCTAGGAAGGTTAACCATTTTGACATTCTGACTTCCATTTCAGTGTTTTCCACCTTGCTCAGTGTCCAAAGCAATCCCACAGGATTCCAGACTCTCTTGCCTCAGTACAACTTTTCCTCTCTTTCTCCTATTAAATGTCTGAAACAGTGTTTTTCAATCTGATCAAGGCTATTTTCATGGGCTGGATATATAGCTCAATGGTAGAACATTCACCTAGCACAGTCAAGGACCTGGGTTCAATTCCCAGTATCGCCAAACCAAGCCAAACAAAACAAAAGCTATGTTCACAGATGACTAATATAATTTATCATCATGAAGAGTCTCCTTTTTCTTTAATAATGATTTTTATAACCATTGAACAAAAGATGCCTTGGTAAAGTGTGAAATTTTTTATAAATTCCTGGATTCAAAATTCCAATAGAATTTATAACCTACAAGTTCCCTTTCATCAAAGAAATATAGTTATATTTTAAAGATATTAATACAAATAAACTATAGGCATTGTAGAGTTTTTCAATATATAGTCTCAAAATTTGAGCCCCATAAGCATACACTAATTACTAGGAATGACACTCGTCCTTGCAGTTTACAGTTTACCTTTTAACTGATGAAATTAAAAATACAGGATATTTAGAAAAATGTTAAAAAAAAAAATTCCAGTATTCTTACCTTAGACCCTGACAACATACTGGTCAACATTTTTGTTCCCCTTCCAATGCCAACCACTAGAAATCAAAGAAAGAAAAATTATGACATTCTATTCTGAGAAGCAGAATTGGCTTTAATTTCTTGGCCTGTGCAATGAAGTTGGAAAGGGAATGTATTTAACATGACTAGAGGGTGCACATTACCCTAATCAGCTGAGCATGACATGCAACTGAGCAATTCTGAAGGGGGAATGGAGAGAGACCTTTCCCCCAATTCACAAAGTATTAAACACAACAGAAACCTTAACCTAGCCTATTAGACAATGAAGTTTTAGGACAAGCTCAAAAGAACTCACTGGAAATTTATAATGGGCATTGGTGAAAAATATGGTACAATTAACTATGTACAAGTATAGGATGAAATAATGACAGAGTTCATTATTAAAGAAAAAGCCATCAGCATAGCTAATGTGCCATTTAAATATGATTTGAATTCAACAGTGTATAATCAAGCAAAGAGAAACAAAATAAATCAACCTAACACAAAACTACAAGCTAAACTGAGGACTCAGAGAATATGTTTTAACACAAATCAACTTTAAAGTACATGGCCTACTTTGCTCTTCAATTTCAAATATTTATCTTTCTAACACATTTCACCAGATGAGTGAAGAGTAGGCAGGTGTTTAGAATAACTAAAGCATTTACCATTAATAGATGTAAGTTCAAATATAGCCACACAATTCAGAATTGAGGAAGCAGGAATGACTGGCAAATTGAAAAGATTAGTAATATTTATATCAGATGTTATCCAGTGAGTGTACCATGTATAAGTTATACTACAAATGCATTTCATCCATTATCTCATTTAACCCTTGTAGCACCCTTTAAATGACATAATTGTACCTATTTTAGTCTCTCAGTCCCACAGAGACTAATAAAACTTTGTCCAGCATTTTATAACATATATAGTGAAATTAAAATGCAAACCATGCTGTGTAGTCTCCTTTTCATTCCCCCGTCACCTGATTTACGAAGGCTTTTCTCTTACTGCCACCAACCTAACCTATTGCAAATCTGTTTTACACCATTATCTCTTCCTTTTTCTTTTATGCCGGTGCTAGGGCCTGAACACAGGTGCTTGGGCATTTTCTCTGAGGTTTATTTGTTAAAGGCTAGCACTCTAAAACTTGAATCACTGCTCTACTTACGGCTTTTTGGTGGTTTACTGGAGAAAAGAATCTCATGGACTTTCCTGCTCAGGCTGCCTTCAAACGGTGATCCTCAGATCTCAGCCTCCTGAGTAGCTAGAACTACAGGCATAAGCCACAGACAACTCATTCTTCCTTTTCAATTCATACCATTTCATAAGTATTTCTGAATACCTTATTTTGCCACTATAGAGTCCCTAGTAACCTTAAAGTCCCAATTTCTACTATACCAATTGCTTAGTATTCAAAGTCCACCCTTCAAAGTCTAGTTCCAATTATTCATAAGATCTATTCCAAACCCCCTCGAAACTTTTATGCTACTCATTAGTATTTTAAATAATTTGTTTTATTAGTGAAAGGACTGTTCAAGTGAGGGGTCTTATTGATAATGATGAGGCAAAAACTTTGTAAAATAGTAACAACAAAAACTCAATGCACTTTGATTCCACTGAAGAGAATGCTTAGTTTGAACAGATGCTATGCATATAGTCCAAAGAGGATGGCTTTTAATGCAGGAATAAGGAAGCCTTAGCCACATTTCTTGACTTTGAAAGAGCTTAAAGCTCAAGGAAAAAACAACATACAGACAAGGAAAATCATTGTACTCAAAAATTGTTCTCAATTAATGAATGAACAATGCCAAGTAACAATATGTACTGTATAATTGAGCATCCAAATGAACATTTGGATGTTCATTTGGATGCTCAATTGCTCTAGGAGGCTGAAGGAAAATGGCTGAAGCCAGAGAATACTTCATTTAACCTTCTCAAGGAAGTGAGTTAGGTCTTGAAGAATGTATAGGACTTGAACAGACAGAGAAAAGAGAATTATATTCTAAAGAAGAAACTAAACTGGGTGCTGGTGGCTCATTCATGTAATCCTAGCTACTCAGAAGACTGAGACCTGGATGAGTGTGGTTTGAAGTTAAACTAAGCAGAAAAGCCCATGATACTCTACCTTCAATTAATCACACAAAAAAAATCTGGGCAGAAGGTGTGGCTCAAGTGGTAGAACACCAGCTGAACAAGTAAGCTGAGAATGAGAAGCTGAGAATGAGAACCTTAAGTTCAAACCCAGTACTGATCAAAAAGAATAAAAGAAAAATAAAATGGTAAGCTAGATGCAGCTATAACTTCATCTTCTCAAGATAATCTACTGGGTTGTGGTGGCACTTGCCTACTCAACACTAAGAAGGCTAAGGCAGGAGGATTCTGAGTTCAAGACCAGCCTGGGCTACAGAGCAAGATCCTGTCACAAGAAAACAAAAATAAGTAACAAATAATAATAATTACTCTGAGATTAAAGAAACATGCTCAACTTTCTTCCTGAGTTTTTTCCTTTTCCTAAAATGAAAAAAAAAGCTGTCTATGTATGCAATGTTTTTCTTGGGGAAGCTCATTAGAAACTCAGTGCCTTAAATTTTTATGGGGGGATGGTGGTGGTAGAGGAGACTGGTGATTGAGAAAATGGTAACCCAGACATGCTCTACTAGACTAGAAGGAAAGTGGGGGGGGTCAAGTCACAGCAAACCACTTTTATCAGATAGAAGAGCAGGAACACTATTGAAATTCAAATTCTAAAATGTCAGACAAGGGTCAGCTTTGCAAGCAGGCATTTCTAAAGACAGTAATTTCACATCTCTGTGGTAACTGTCTTCTGCATAGACATAAACCTTTACTCAAAGTCCCAGCTACATATAAAAGTGGCTACTTCTGATAGCATTGTGTACTTTGTACCACTGAAAAGTTTCTTCAGAAGATAGCACTATAAATCCAGTAGAACTGAAACATTCCAAAGTAGACCGAAAATGGCATGCTTTATTTTGCATTCAATCAATTTTACTTCCTGATATTCAGGGACAGTTCTGTTATACTTCCTTTAAGTCTCTTACCTAGAACGCCTTGGGCTGCACTATCTAGAGTGCCTCCATGCCCAATTTTCAAAGTTTGCTTTTTCCTCTTGGTCCATTCTGGGGAAGGCATTTCAGCTTCTATGAGAGTAATTGGGATGAAAAACAAAAGATAATTACCACAAAAAGTACAATCTCCACCTATATTGAAAGTAGCCTATACATAATAAAAATATACTATAAACTTAACATATTAAGGCTGTTATATTACTAGCAAAGAATTATTTTTAATGTACAGATACTCCCTAAATTACCTCCCCAAAAAAGTATATTCTAAAATTAATTGCCTAGAATTCATTTACTAAGAAAAATATTCTTACTAAAAATTCTGAGTAGTTTAAAAACTCCTTTATTTTAGTCAGGCACCAGTGGCTCACACCTATAATCTTAGTTACTTAAGAGGCTGAGATCTGAGGATCATGGTTTCAAAGCCAGCCTAGAAAGATAAATCTGTGAGATGTGAGACTCTATCTCCAATTAACCAGCAAAAAGCCAGAGGTATGGCTCACAAGTGATAGTATACCAACCTTGAGCAAAGAAAGTCAAGCAAGAAAGAGACACAAGCCCCTGAGTTCAAGCATCCAAAATAAAAAATTAGTCCTCAATTTCTATTTGTAATTTCCTCCATTTTTTCCTCCTTGGTGTTCTTTACTGTTACTTCCAGTTATCTGGAGTTGTGCTCCTATTGGAACTACAACTTAAACAAGTTCACTTCTATGTTAATCTCAAGAGGTTAAGTATGTTAACAATTAAACTGTTAAGTAGATTAACAGTCAACTCTTCTGAAGAGTTTATATTTTTTTTTAAGAGATGAGTCTCATTTGTCTAATATTTCTGTCACAAATACAGTTCCCAAACCCATCAAAGCTTCTTTATCACCACTGACATGCAGGAGACAAAATACAGTGACAGGAATGAAAACACAAGATTGATAAGGAGAAAGCGAAGCAACAGTAGAGATGTTGAGGTCCTGTCTCACAATATGACCATCCCACTGAATTAAAACGATGGTGATTAAAACATTGCCATACTTTGAAGAACTTGCTGTCCTGTGTTGACGAAAACTTCACCCCTGCTCTTCCATTCACAAGCCAACATGATCTCTCATTCACGAATTTCTGAATTTTTATGGAGAAACTCTGTTTTCAACTTGATACTCCAAAAAGGCCTCAGAAATTTACTGTGTTCTTTGTACTCAAACTTACTTCTTTCTAACTTGCAGCACACTGTATTAGTACATTGAATCTGGTTCACTCCACTGAACCAAATATTCATGGATGACTGTTTATTAAGGTCTTTCCTAGCTATAAAATTTTAATGTCTCCGGCCTTGAAGAATTCAAGCAGAGGAGTGGAGATTGTAAAATGGTAGGAAACAATGTAAAGACAGGCAAGTAATATTATCAGAGCCATGACCATTGATTGTGGCTTAAACCAGTACTTCTTGTCAAACTTGGCCAACATCAGAATGCGGGTATTTTTTAAGTCTTCCAGGGTAATTTTGACTAACCTAGCCAGTTAGACTGAAATGCCATTTGAGAATCCTTAGTGTGGCTTATATAAATATACAATAGGCTGATGTCAAGTCTTACAGAAACTATGGTAATTAGAGGTAAACATGTAACAAATGGTTTCCAGAAAATGGTCCACCAAGTCTTTAAACAATCATTTTTAACCAAGTTATGACACCAAACATCAGTGCTTAAAGGTAGCTTAACCAGAGGGCCAGGGCATAGCTTAGATTCTGTCAGAAACTTGTCTGAAGCTGGGCACTGGTGGCTCACGCCTGTAATCCTAGATACTCAGGAGAGATCTGAGGATCATGGTTCAAAGCCAGCCCAAGCAGGAAAATCCATGAGACTCTTATCTCCAATAAACCACCAGAAAACAGAATTGGCGCTGTGGCTCAAGTAGAGCCACTAGTAGAGAGCTAGCCTTGAGCTGAAGAGCTAAGGGACAGTGCTCAGGCCCAGAGTTCAAGCCCCATGATCGACAAAAGAAACTTGTCTGAGAAAGAATAGTAGTCACTAACTTGAGGATCAAAAAAGCCAGAATGTAGCTAACAAATCAGGGCAAAACAAAGCAATTCTATGAAGGGAAAAAACAAAAACAAAAAAACTTCTTTGACAACACAGCTTCTTCTTAATGTAATACATGACTTCAACAGCACCTAATAGGAAATATAAGGAAAGCTTGACAAATACAAGAAAGTATAATACTGGAGTCAAACATCTGGAAGAGTATACCTATTTGCCAATAAATGTTTAAATGTGTATTACACAGTTATAATGAACAAATTCCCATCAGAATAACTTGGTTTTGTGAATTCTGCCACAGTATACTAAACAATTTAAGAAGTTCCTTTGCTGGTTTAATGGCAAAATAGGCTAGGATCAAACTCTGGAGGACCTTGACCTTGTCAGCTGACGGCTATGGAAATTATTAGGCCTATGGAACCTAGGGAAGGGAAGACACGGTATCTTTCATCTTCATGTTTCTACAAGACAGAACAGATCCAACTTTTTAAATGTGGTACCCAACACAACTAACGTTCTCTGATGTTACTGTCTGAAATGATCTTCTAGGCTGATGAACTCTGATCTTTCAGGCTTGTCTATTATCTTTCCAGTGTGTAGGAATAAACAAAAAGAGAAACTTCTCAGATCAATGGCCAATTTCTAGTTAACATTTACTGAAAGAGAGGGTCATTGAAGTAATATGGTGGTCAACAGATTACTTAATCTGAATCACTTGGAGCAACTGTTTAAATTGCAAGTTCCCAAAAACATCTTAGACCCTTGGAATCGCAATCTCTTGAGAGGTATTAGGAATCTGCATTTGTATAAGAAACTAACTTTCATGTCCACTATAATACGGGAAAAACAATATTGTGAAAAAACGCTGTAGTAAGTCTTGGTTTATTAAGTCTCTGTTTTTCCACTTTATCTCCAAGGGCCTAACTTTAGGGGGTGTACCGAGACAGGGTAAGTTTTATCCACAGGGAGCAACTAAAAAGCCTCCTGAGGGCTCAAATAACAGGGGGAAATGTCTACAAGCTCCAGGGCGTGCGGCTGGTTCTGTCCCCCCGCTGGAGGACGTCAAACGCCGGGGTGTTTACAGGAGTTCGGCGCGGCAGGTCCAGGGCTGGGACAGCCCCTCCTTCGGTCAGAGTTAACACGGGGTCGCTCTCCCATCCCCTTCCTGTGTGCTCGGGGGCCCAGGCGGCGCCCCGCTGGGGCAGGCGCGGGCCGCGTCCCCCGGGCCGCCGTACCTGCCAGCAGCTTCTCCTTCAGCCGGTTGAGCAGCTCGGCCGAGGTGGGCCCCTTGGGCTTGCGCACCGCGAACACGCCGCTGAGCGACAGCAGCTTAGCGGCCAGAGCGGCCTTGGAGACCCTGGCTTCGGATCCGGTCCTGGCCGCGGCCGCGATCGCCGCGGCTACTGAGGTAACAGCCATGGCCGAGGCTGTCTTGGCAGTTTCAGAGATGGAGACTGTGTCTATTTTCAACGTCGATGAAGACACCGCCGCCGCCTGAGAATCTGCCATGCTTTCACACGGGCAAGACCTGTTAACGAGAGGCGCGTCGAAATGACGCACACAAGTGCGCCAGACAGCTCCCCAGGCTACGGATAGTAAGGTGTGCGCGCGGGGTTGTGGGAGTTGTAGTCCGTGACCTTCCCGAAGGCTTGCGAAGGCACCTTAGGGTTGCTTTGGGCAGTCTCTCTTGTCTTATAATCCTTTCTGCTTCTTTAGTGAGTTAGCTCTGTGCCGCAGAGATATTTTGGAATTGCAGTCATCATAGCGAACTCTGAAGATCCCGGGCCTACTTAGCCCCCACTGTTTCATTCAAGTTATGTGCTCTTGGAATCACAGGATAGAATTAAAATACACCCAAATGTAAGTGTTAGGTTTTTAAAAAGAGGTAGCCGAGTAAGAACAGCACCAGCACGCACGTGGTATTCAGGTAAGGGGTAGGTATATTCAGTAGACCTGCTGGGACCAGGCAAGGTTGGCACTCCACGTGGCTGGGAAAGGCCTGGGAATGAGAGAGAGCTGGGAAAGAGAGGAAAGAGCTAGAAAAGAGCAGAGAGAGGGGTAAGAACAGTAGCACTCACGTGGTATTCGGGTAAGGGGTAGGTTTATTCAGTGGACCTGCTGGGACCAGGCAAGGTTGGCACTCCACCTGGCTGGGAAAGAGAGAGGAAAGAGCTAGAGCAGAGAGAGAGCAGAGAGAGCTAGAAAAGAAGAGCAAGAGCAAGAGAGCCAGAAGAGCAAGAGCAAGAGAGCTAGAAAAGAAGAGCAAGAGAGCTAGAAGAGCAAGAGAGCTTCTGGGCCTGGGCTAGGCCTTATGTACGGTATGGGCGGGGAAAGGTGTGGCCACATCAAATTCAGATGTGACCTCAGCTGATGCAGATGTGACCTCTTCCAGGTGTCCCAGTTGCCTAGGTAATGCAGGTAATGGGTGGAGACTTTGCTGCGAGGAGGGTGGAGTCTGCTAGCCATCCAGGAGCGGACCTTACAGTAAGCTCAGAGCAAGGACCTTGTTGCTGTATCTGAACGCCTCACACATGTAGTAAGTGCTTAAATATGTAGGAATTAATCAATAAAAGTTCTTCAAATCCCATAAAGAAACGTCTAGGCCAAGTCAATGGTAAATTTCTTGGGCTTACTGTGATTTCTTTCATGTGCCTTGTTCCTCTGATTCGCCCACATCTTCCACTGCAATTCTTGCAATCAAGATTTCCCCAGATCATGATTAATCGGGAAAGGCAAAAAGGATCAAATGTGTAGGCCTACCCTGTCTTACACCTGGGCAACCTCTGCACAGTGGCCAAACTATTTAGAAAGGGTTAATAAGGGAGCGCTGACTTTATGTCATCTAGTAAGTAACTCAAAACTCTGACAACTTCCAGGCTGTCTTCATCCAAACTGCCCAACTCACTCCTTGAGGTGTAATTCACACCTGGCTTTCTTCCAACTCTTCCTGCACCTGGGCCAGTGCCCTAATCTCATACACTGCACCTCATACTCTTGAAACACCTCATACACTGGTTACCAATTCAGAAAACTACACCCAATAAACCTCAGCAACATTCTAGGACAAGTTTCTAGGAAATGGTGGTCATAAAATGGCAGAAAACATTTATCAATGAATATTTATCAAGATTCTATTCTGTGTAAGGCACTAGAGATGGAAGAATAAGTAAACAATCACAGTCTCTGTTTTCACAAAATTTGAAATCCAGAAAACTCTGTGCTGGATGTACCTGAAAGGTAGGTTCTACCCTTAGAACACACAGACACCCACACACTCTTTCTCCCTTTCTCTCTCTCTCCCCTTTTCCCCCTTCCTTCCACCCCCCCATCTGTCCCCCTCTCCCCTCCTCTGTCTCTGTCTCTCTCTGTCTCTGTCTCTCTCTGTCTCTCTCTCCTGTCTCTCTCTCTGTCTCTCTGTCTCTGTCTCCGTCTCTCTCTCTCAATGGTACCAGAGTTTAAACTCAGGATCTCATGCTTTCTATGCAAGTACTCTACTACTTAAACCATACCACCATCACTTTGTTGCTTTCATTTATCTTTGTATAAGGTTCTCATATTTTTGCCCTGAGCTGGCCTTTGACCATGATCCTCTTGTTGATTTCTCCCACATAGCTGGGATTACAGATTTACACCACTGAGTTGCCCTTATTGGTTGAGATAGGATCTAACTAACTTTTTCAAGGGAGCCTTAATCTTGATCCTCTTGGTTTCTGCCTCCCTAGTGGCCTTCAGATCTCTTTAAATAAGTCATATTATAGGAATGTAGTCCAACCTTTAATAACTTCATTAGATTGAAAAGTAAAGGAAATTAGTAGTCTTGGATTATGTTTTGATAACGTTTATCATGATGAAATGAGAGTATTGTAAGGTAGATGGACTAGCTTTTGAGAAAAGATGATGCTTAATGGATTAATGTCACTCACATAAGAGATTTCTAGTGTAGAGTGAATAAAAGGCAGCATCTGAGTGAGCCCCTGACTTGACTCAAACTTTGGAAATATAGAGCTGGGCGAACCTATACAATGATGCATATAGAATTTCCCATTAGCAAGAAGATGTGGTGAGGGGGAAGGAAATGCATTTGAGGACATAAAGAGCTTCCTGAAAGATAAACTTTGTGCATTTACTGTGCATCGTGCCCAGTGATGAGCACAATATCTCATTTAACCCACATACAACTCATTTGCACACCCAAGAAATGGTATCACCATGTCAAGATGAGCAAATTGAGGTCCAAAAGGATTAGGTACCTTGTTGAGGCTCCATCAATTAGTAAGTGACAGTAAGGTTTTGTTGAACCCAAGTTTGATTGAGTCTTAAGTTCATAATAGACGCCCCCCTACACATACACACACATAGGCTGAAGAACTAGGCTGAATTTAAATAAGTTTTTTACAGATATGGCCAAAGGCTCCTGGAGTTGAATGTTCAAAAACAACATTTCAGGCTGGGAAGGTGGCTTAGTAGTAGAGTGCTTGCCTAGCATGCATGAAGCCTTGGGTTTGACTCCTCAGTGCCAGATAAATAGAAAAGGCTGGAAGTGGTGCTGTGGCTCAAAGTGGTAGACTACTAACCTTGAGCAAAAAGAAGCTCAGGGACTGTGCCCAAGTCCCAGGTTCAAGCCCCAGGTCTGGAAAAAAAATTTCAAGGGCATAGTTGTTTTTTTAAATAGTAGATTAAAATAGTAGATTAAGTGAGAAAAGTCTTTGGATTAAGTCTAGATTAAGCCTTACATGATGAAACACACTGATCTACTACAGGAGTAGTATGGCAAAAAGCAAGATTGTAAGTCTTACAAGATCAGGTATCTGGTGGGCAGGCATACCCCAAGAGGTTGAAGTAAGCAATTTATTCCCTCATCCACACAGTTCCTCATTGGTTGTATACTGTGGGGTATACATTCTTTCCCAGACATTCCTTAAGTTTCATTATGTCCTATTTGATCATTCTGGTATGTGTATCTTTTGAGAACTGGTTGAATTTTAGGAGCCATTTTTGGCTGCCTTCATTGTTATTGTTCCCTTGTGGCAGGGTAAGAGCTTTCTAGTACATACCTATTTCCTATTTGTATTGTGGTCCATTCTTCCCCTTGCTATCTAGCCCCATTCTAATGTTCTGTTTATTTACCGTGTTTGCCTAGGGGCTTTTCCAAGCGCAGGAACTTTGCCATATTTTCAAGTTGCTATACAAATAAGCTGCAATCATTTTCCACAAAGGGTCAAATGCCTTGCTTTGAAAATGGACCACCACTGACTTTGTTCTAACATACAAGTGCTTTATGTAAATATAAAATGACCAAAAGTGATGTAATCCTGCAAACAGTATTAAGAAATATTAAAAATGATCATATCTAGGATGAGAAGGATGGTATCATGCCCCAGTAACACAGCCATACTTTTTATTCTAGATCTTTCCCTGATTCAAAGATTTCTTGTTTTCAAGGTCCCCAGTTTGATGAGAAGAAAACCTGACAAACTATCCCAGGAAAGTATTTTGTGAACCAAGCAAAACTGCTGCTTTTTGCAGGTTAAAACGTTTGGATGTCAGTCTGTTTAACATCTCCGGATAGGGTCATCACCCTGCTCCTCCAGGGCTATTTGTATTTTTAGCCAAAAGAATCCAAGAGAGAATGGTTCAGATTAGGAAGGGGAGATGCTGGCGACCCTGGAAATAACCTAAAGCTTTCCAAACCACACCATACCCAAAGTACATTTTCTTCACAATTTGTTCCATTAAGCTATACCAGTGCCCTCATCCAGCACTGTCAACCCTTGTCCATTCAGAGAAATAAATGTTACTATCTCCGCTGACTCATTGACAGTGAAAGCTTGCCAGTGCATTAGCTGGTGCACACAACCTATCTATCAAAAAGCATTCAACATGTTTTTGTATTAATAACCCAAAAAGAAGTGGCATGCTCTCCCTCTCCTAACCTAGTTCAGAGCAAAACAAACATGAACATGTTAAAGAGAGAAGAGCTAGAAAAAGGAGCTATCTTACAGAAGGGTCTGGGATGATAAAGATATTTCACAAAGCACAAATTGAGTACATTTTTGGCTTTAGGGATCCTGCAGAGAGGGGGGAGGGGGAATCCTCTAATTATTCCTTAGCTCTCGAACAGTATTCAAAGGGCATAATTAATTTCAGCAAAGTACACAATGTTATCAAAGGGCATTCAAGACAACAAAGTCCTAAATTAAACAGATAGATCCAATTATACATATTAAAATTGTATTAACAGTATAAATATTTATAGTTCAATACAAGTGGCACATAGGTGATTATGCATTTGATTACTCATGCAACAAACTAGACTTGAATTGGTCAAATGCTGTCTTAACAGTGCCAGAGCAACACTGTAGACCAGGTTGTTTTTTTATGTTAACATTCATTTGTTCATTCATTTGTATAACAAATGTTCATGATGCACCTGCTTGGTAATGGCACATAAAATAGATTTCATATGGACCTCTGCTGTTATAAAATGCTTAGGGAAAGTACATCAGATTCG